ATGCTCAGCTGAGTGAGCCACCCAGGCGTCCCTGTGCCGCCTTTTTCCTAAAGAGACCCAGACCCTCACATCCCCAGATTGCAGGGCCCCATTATTTCATCGTGTTGTGCATTAAGAAGAATTGGCAGAAAAAATAAGGAACTTGGGAAAAAAACAGTCAGCCCCAGGTAGATCGAGTAGGTAGTCTTCCTCAGGGTGTGTTTTCAGAAAATTTGGAAGACTCCCTCACCCCCCTACCCCCGCCAAGTACTTTGCTTTCACAAAGCCTGACATTCTATAACTGGTCTTGGTTTTGGTTGTGTTTTTAAAAACTCTTATAAATTTTCAAGCATTAAGAGGATGACCTAACAACTGTTGGTGATCAGTGGGGTTTAAAAAATTATTTAATTAGAGACTGAATGTAAAATATAACGCGTAAGGTATCATCACCCTTGATAACACTGTGGGTAGGTAGTTATTCTAGAACCTGGCATCAGCTCCATTCCTGAAAAGCTTTGGTGACTGAGGGGGAGAGAGAATTCAAAGCTACTTCATCCTAAAGTGCAGTGGGGAGCATAGGGTGATAGAGAAAGACCCCCAGATGGGATGTTTCTACATGCCCGGAGATACCTTGTCCCCATGTTGTTTCTGGGTCTAGCAGTTTGACCCAAGAACCAAAACCTGCATGGAGTTTAACAGTGTCCATCCAGTGGTCTGTCCACTACGTGCCTTTGGAGCTGATGACGTCTCCATTCCCCAAATGGGGTCACTACCTTATGGGGTTTGTAGGCGGCATTCTGTATGCACTTAACAAGAGGTAACATCTCTAAGAGTTTCTGCTATTTTCAAGCTGTAATTGTGCTTCTGCTTATAAAGAGCTAGAATGGATGTGTTAAGCCAATATTTTGGCCTTATTCGTGCCTTATTTCTTTGCTATGAAGGCTTTTTATGGAGCTTTTCTGTTTGTTTGAACCGTGTCTCTCCCTTCCCTTTTCTTGTAATGCTGTTGCTTTATCTCTCTTCCATTCATATTTTTTTCCTTCCTTTTTGCTGCATGGAGACTCTCTGCTGTACAAGTGTAAGTATTTTTTGGTGGCTCTGCAGTTTCTGGCTCTACTACTTTGCTTTCTTGTGCCCCATCTGCTTCTGCGCTGCCCGGCTGGTTTTTTTGGAGACTCAGTGTCATCATCCATCTGTGGATCCTGTGTGAAACAGACAGCAATTTAGAGACAAGATTGGCTTTTACAAGACGGTTCAGCTAGCAAAACAGGCGATGAATTTAAAAGATCCTAGCTGTGCCTAAAACCAAGCAGAGTGTTGATGAAGAGGGTACCAACCTTCAAGAGGGGAGAGGTGGTTTTTCCCTTTGTGTAAAAAAAAAAAAAAAAAAGTGATTACTTAAATGTCCGGGTTTTGTTTTGTTTTGTTTTTTCCTGATTCTTGCTTCCCAGGGTTGTAGAAAATTGGCATCATGATTTGCTTCTTGTATGAGAAGAATTTTTCCTAATTCATTTCCCAGCTTTTTTTTTAACCAACCGTGTTTTTGTTTTGTTTTTTGTTTTTTTGTTTTAACCTCAGGGAAAAGAAAATTAGGGATTCTTGAGCTCAAAGTGAGAGTGTTGTTTATTATTCTTTGCACAAACTTGATAAAATGAGCAAGGCAGCTTCTCCATCCTATTTTTGTGGTGATAGAAACAATTTAATTCTCGTTTTAAAAAAAAAAAAGTATGTTAGGAATTACATGTTAAAAGTGAGTTTAACAGGAAAATAATGTTGTGCTCTTCGTCAGACTCTAGCCTAAGTCAAAGCATTAAAGTAGACCTATCACTTGGGTGACATGAGAATCGTTTTAATTCCATTATAAAAATCAGATCAAATGAATAAGATTTCTGAGCAACGTAGACATTGTGTTGCTTTTGATTCCTAGAGAATAGGGCCCTGCCTTTTGTCCATAGTCGGCCATGGTGGGGATTTATTGATGGTTGGTGATGTCAGGATGAGAAAGAAGTCTTGCATGTGGGGTTTTCCTTCTAAAGTTACTTTTTAAAGGGTTCAACATTGTTCCTCCTATTTCTTGAGTATGTGAATTTGAAAATAATTTATTACAAAATGCATTTATAAAGTAATTTTGTCTAGGCCTAAAATAATAGTTAACCATGAATTGATTTGTAAAGAGTCCTTTGGTGTGTGTACCTCTTCTGCTTCAGGCCCTGACCCTCTTCATCTGAGGGGCACTTCTTGATTTCTCCTGTCAGTAAATACTCATTGACAAATGTCCAGGGCAGGAAATGAAGACTAGGAAAGAGTCTGAGAAAATTAGCCCTTTCATTTTGATACAAGAGTGTTAACCGTTCTGAAGAGGTTGGTAAAGCTAGATTTTTTTTTCCCCCCAGGTTGCAACTTATGTAATCAACAGGTGTGAGAAGGGGTTGGCAGGAGTGTATATAAACCAGATTTCTGGAGAAACATAGAATATTTGTTCCTAAATATATACTTGGGTAGATAATCATAGCTCATTGTTATATTCCCTCTTGCTTTAGCTTTTATATGTAACAGGATCATAGGAGTAAGCCAGTAAAGGGTGAGCAAGTTCAGTTTTTTATCTAAAACTGTTAAGGAAGAAAAAATTCAAAAGAAAGGAAAGAAAAAGAGAAATAAAATTCACTCCCCCCCATTGTTATACTTAAACCATAAGAAAGAGATCATGAAACTTTTCGTGTATCAAAAGAAATGTCTAAAATTGAGTTGCATTCTTAATACCAGATTCAGAAACTAGTTGATTTCGAGTCCTGCCTATTTTAGCAAAAGTCCATTGTCCCTGTCCAAATGTCAAAAACTTCGAAACTAACAGATATGTCACATACAGTGGGAGAGTTTCATGTGAAATGCAATTAGGAGGTATTTGCTCTTGTACAGAGCATATGAAATGAAGGATATCTTTGAAGCATTTGAAAGTCAAACTGAGAAGAGCGAACCTAGTTCCCCTTTGGTTGATGTCTGCCATCAAATATCCTGATGATTTCCTAAATTCCTCAGTTTGTCTATAAAATTAGGTTGAGCTGAATGACCTAGTTACAGATCGGCATCAGTTTGTAAATGTCTCTTTATATTTTCATATTGCTTATAAATATTATGTAGTCTATTTTATATATAATTATACGTAAAATTCCATTTCATATATTTAAAATTGTAATATATTTGAAATGTCATAATTGTCATGTGTTTTACACACATTTGGCCTCTGTTATAAAGGTTATGTAGGGAAACGAGCCAGATTATTTTTGCCCATGAACACTCTTTCTATAAAATCTAATCAAGAGTCACAGGAAAAAATGTTGGAAGACATTGTCATTCCATGCATTTTTAAGCCTCTTTCTTCTTTATTTGTGGCTGTCTAAATGAATTGGCTGGAAATTATATCCCCAGCTGCTTCTTGATCCTGTTACCCATCAAGGTTGTACACAAAGTGGATGGAATACTGAAGACATTTTCATTAAACATAGCGTATATTTCAGGAGTTTGTGTCTCCTGAAAATTAATTATTTTTAGAGGTTCACCTATGAATGGACCAGTCAGTCCACTATCTTGTTCAGTCAACTGCAAGGGCATTTTGAGGGGAGAACAACCTGGAAACTGGATCCCTTTCCAGTTGCATTGGATTGACTGTGTTTTTTACTGAACCCACAAAGCCTGTTGCTTTACAAATAGATACTCCTCAGATCGTCTGCCTTTAACTAAACCTTGAAAGAACCAAATCACCAAGTTTTCACTGTGTATTTCAGGAAGACCAGTCTGGATTTAAATGTAATTGCTCATCTTTTCTCTCCCTTTTCTCTCAATAATAACAGCAAAAGGATACTATTGTTAAATCTGGCATAAAATTCTTAGAACTGTAAAGTTGTTTGCTTTAAAGGTCAGTGTGAACCAATTCATTCCTTGAACCAAAGAGAGTGTCAACTGTGTGGATGTTTTTTGAGAAAGCCTTACATGGCACGCTATTAAATGAAAGACTACCAAGGAAGTTCTGTTATCTCTTAGTTTAGACAAATACTAGTTTCCAGTATCAGACCAATTAGAACATTCCTCAAGTCCATTCATCTGTATATTGATTTCGAAAGGTATGGTTTGGAGGGATGTTGGGCCAGCCTTACAATGGGTCTGTCCCTGATGCTGCTTCTAATGCCGGCTTGAATGGGAGCTGTTGTCATCTCTGACTCAGTTTCTTCCTTCAAATTCGTTTCTCTAGGTGATGACTGAAGCCGTCTCCCGTTTTCACACTTGTGGTCCTCTTGTGGGAGAAGCTAATCACCCTCTTTAGATTTGGCTTTACATCATCAACAGTTGGCACCAATGCTTAAGATGTTTTGGTGGTTTGGGTTTTGGTCTCATTTTTTAAAAGACTAACAGGATGAAGGACTCTTACTGAGAGGTGACAGCAGACGGACTTCTAAGTCATGGCAACTTTTTCCTAGTTAGCCTTTGCCCATAATATAAAAATCAAAATCTCAGTGGCAAAAGTATGAAACAAAACAGTTAACTGCTTAACTCCTGAAAGGGACAAAGAGTTGGGCGTTGCCTTGCATCCATGATGTTTGATGTTCCTGTGGTAATGAGCAGTAGATAGTTGTAGTTTCAATTGTTAGCGACTGGTGTTTACAATCTTTTAATCTGTTTTTTTATATCCATTTTAATATCCTCATGCGCAGCTTGGAATTACATTCCGTATCTTTCATTGTTCCTTTCTGCCATATAAATAGAATGTAACTGATAGGGCTGGAGGCAAGAAGCAAGCAGGGGGCTGTATCAGTTGAGAACATTGTAAACATTTAGAAATGTGTGGGTTCAGTCTTTCCGGTCAGGCTGTCAGATGTGACCAACCATCCTCTAAAGCAGCAAAACAAATAGTGTGAACATTTGAGCCCAGATGTTTCTCCACCCACCCCCCACCCTCAGAAAGGTTTCTGAAGTTTGAAACGCAAGTTTCTCTGAATACCTAAGTGCTTTCTTTATTTCGTTGCTAGATGACCCCTAAGTCCAAAAGGAAGAGTATCCATAGCCGGATGCTGCGACCTGTTTCCAGAGCCTTCGGTGAGTTATTTCTGAATGCCCGCCATTTCCCTATAACCATGAAACACCCCCAGCGGGGACCTCGGACCACCTCAGGGAGCCCTCCCAGGGATGCATGCTCTGTATGAGTAAATGTGGACAGGGATTGTGAAGTGATTTGTGAGCCCGTGTTTGCGCTTCCGTGATAGACTTAAAGTTACTTTGAGGAATTCTGTAATGCGTCTGTACGCAGGGCGCTTCAGCCCGGGGCTCTGCTTTATTTCAGAGATGGAGTTTGATCTCGATAAAGCGCTGGAGGAGGTGCCCATTCACATCGAGGACCCGCCTTTCCCTTCCGCCCGACAGGAGAAGCGGAGCTCAGGGTTTATCTCCGAGCTGCCTTCCGAGGAGGGGAAGAAGCTGGAGCACTTTACCAAGTTAAGGCCAAAGCGGAGTAAGAAGCAGCAGCCCACCCAGGCGGCGGTAGGTGGCCGGGAGGGGCCCCCTCTCCCGCTCGCCCTTTACTTCCCGGGGGAGCAGGAGGTGGGCGCGGGCGCCTGGCCCAGCACGGACGCTTGCAGCGAAGGGCGGCAGAACCGGCCACCGGACGCTCGAGCACAGCCTGTCCGCTGGGCGCCCAGCAGTTTTTGAAAAGACAATGCTGTAAAGTTTCCAACGCTTTGGAGCAGAGTTGCCCTTGGAAGAAGCGCTTAGAAAAATAGCGGTCACGTGGGTGTGATAAATCGGCTACGTGTGTGGAATTTTTCACGTCTGAGTGCGACACGATGGAAAATAAGCACTAGAGCATTTGTTGGTGATTAAAAGTGGCTTGTGCGTAACTCGGGGGTGTACACTCTACTCTCCCTGTCCGCCTCCTGGTCTTGGGCTGTGCCGATGCCTCTGCTTTGGATGATGTGCAAGCCCGCAGGTGTACAGAGGCGGCCGGGGGGGCGGGGGGGAGCCGCTCTGGTACAGAGACGCGGCAGCTCCCGCACCTGCCGCAGGAGTTGGGATTGTTGGTGCTGAGTGGCTCTCGGGCTCCTGTGCTCCACACCTGCTGTCTCTCTTGTTCACCTTCCTTGCTCCGCAGTCCGCTCTGCGCCCGGCCACCTCTGCAGCTGCCCCAGGTCACTCCTGGCCGCATCCTGTGCGCACTTGTCTGCTGTCCTCTCACTTGATGTCTCAGCGCTTACTTGACACAGAAAACCCTATCCTTCCCGAAAGCGATTTCCCGTGGGCCTCTGCGGCCCACACGCTTCTTTTCCACCCACCCCGCTGGTGAGGGCATTGAGTGTGTTATTTGCTGCCTGGGCCCCGTGGTCAGAACCCTTGGTTACCATCTGTTGACTTCCGCCCTGTCTGTTCTCTGGGTCAAGTGTTCCCCTGCTTCCTGAACTGAAGTGCCCCAGAGCACCTCGGGCTCCGCACATTCAGAACTGGGAGCCTCTCTCTCTCTGTAAACCCACCTTTCCCTCCTAGCGCCTTACCCCAACGGAGCATTGACAATTCAGAAACCGTGATATGATCCTGAACACCAGGTCCCCACTGCCAACCCTGATCTGTCCACCTTCCTCCTAGTCATCCCTGACATTGCTGCTTCCCAGCCTGGGTCTCAGGCCTCCAGAGCTGCAGCCTTCTTCTTGTCACTTCCCCTCCATGCCCCACATATCTCTTGGGCTGACAACCATTTATCTTTCAGATCTCCACTTGCCTCAGTGTTCCAGGAAACCCTCCCTGTCTCCACATCTGTGTTCCCATAGGTCTGTGCTTACATGACTCCAGGGGAGTTCATTCTCACAGACTGGTTTTGCACAGTGCACAACCTGAACAACCCTCCATGGAGGCCACGGCTCCTCCAGTGCCTGCTCCTCATAGCTGTTATAGGTACTTTTATACCTCCCACCATAATGTTCTCTAAGCACTCTCTCTGTGTAAGCTTCATGTGAGAAGGCGTGTGGTTTATTATCCTAGGATTTATTTTCAGTGCTCTATAGTAGATGCTCAACTGTACTTGTTGAATGATAGGTAGATGATCTGGAGACAGAAGTGGATGAAGGTCACAATAATTATCTGTCTGGTCAGTCATTTATTCAAACTACCTCAGGCTAGTTGTGTTTAGTTTATTTCTCATTCAAACCTGAATAGCTTGACATGGTTTCAGAAAAACAAAAGGAAACAACTTCAGTGCTTTGTTTTCTGATTTACTTGATTTTAACGTTTTAGTATACTATTACATATTCTTTTGCTTCTTTTTTTTTAAGATTTTATTTATTTGAAAGCGAGAGAGAAAGAGAGTGCATAAGCAGAGGCAGAGGGAGAAGCAGGCTCCCACTGAGCAGGGAGCCCAATGCGGGACTCAATCCCAGGACCCCTGGGACCATGACCTAGCCAAAGGCAGACACTTAACTGACTGAGCCACCCAGGCATCCCACTATTACATATACTTAAAGGAATAAACTTTTTTTTAATTTTTTTATTTTTATTTTTTTTTAAAGATTTTATTTATTTATTTTACAGGGAGAGACACAGCGAGAGAGGGAACACAAGCAGGGGCAGAGGGAGAGGGAGAAGCAGGCTTCCTGCTGAGCAGGGAGCCCGATGCGGGACTTAATCCCAGGACCCTGGGATCATGACCCGAGCCGAAGGCAGACGCTTAACGACTGAGCCACCCAGGCGCCCCAGGAATAAACTTTTTTTTTAAGTAAGGAAAAAGCCTTTTTAGATAGGGAAAAAGATGACCTCCACAGTAGATTCTCGTTAGTTACTGAACGGCTCCTCTTTGGCTCTTTCCATGTGGAGAGTCATTAGCAGTGTAACTTGTACCTGAGATGATGGTTTGTTTCCCCTTGATTAAGGCGACCCATGGAAAGAGAATGTTGTGAACATAATTTAAAAACCGAGAAGGGAAGGGAAGAAAGTGGAGCAGAGTGCTGGTAGAGGAACGTAGTAGGTATATGCCAGAGAGATTTGAACTCTGCCCACAGCAAAGCCCGGCTCACAGGTCCTGCTCACGCCCGGCGCTTCCATCCGAGGGACTCTGCTGGTGGCACGAGCCTGTGTCCTAAAACCGTGGGTTATGGTCATGGGTCCAAGTAGATCTGGCTTCTTCCCCAAGGCGTGGTGGACTGCGAAACATGGCATAGCTTGCTTTTCTCTGGGCTCATGGTGAAAGTGTACTACTTTATGATTTTCAAAGTACTTCCTCCACTCTGTGAAGTGGCCACATTTTCAGCTAAGAATGAGGGGATTGCAGCTGACCTTTCTCACTAGGATTCAGTCGTGATAATCATTTAATATTATTGTCTTGTTTTTGTTTTGCTAGGATCGAGTGGACTCAGTCTATCCTAAGTCTGTTTCAACTTTTCTAGAACTTGACCTTGACCTCTAATTCCCCTACTGAGCTTTTCTAAGTATCAGAATGCTCAAAGCCAAGGTGTGGCTTTTTTTTTTTTCTTTTACCATTTTTGACACCAAATGTGTGGGTGCCTCCCGCCCCCCACCCCACACACACCAACTAATTCTTCAACTCTGGACACCAACTGAGTGTCCCCCCAATTTAGTTCAATTCTGACACTACCTGGAGTTAGCATAGACCCCAGAGGTTAAGGGCTTGGTGGCACCCGCACGTCAGATGCCAGTCCCAATGTGTCAACTGTACTTCTGACCAACTGGCTATAAATTCAAGGGGGGGTTTCCACAACCCCCTCCTTAGGTATGGTAATTTGCTAGAATGGCTCACAGAGTTCAAGAAGACACTTTACTTACTATTACTGGTTATTGTAAAGGATGCACCTCAGGAACAGCCAGATGGATGAGATGTGTAGGGTGAGGTAGGGGAGGAGGGGCTGGGAGCTTCTATGCCCTTCTCTGGGCGAGCCACCGTCTCAGCACCTCAGTGTGCTTGCTGACCCGGAGGCTCTCCAAATCTCATCACTCAGGGGTTTTGTGGAAGTTCCATTAAGTAGGCACGATTGAGTAAACCATTGGTCATTGGTGACTAACTCCATCACCAGGCCCTCGGTCCTCCCCAGGGCCAGGGATGGTGGTGAAAGTTCCCACCCTCCTATTATGTGGTTGGTTTCTCTGACGACGAGCCCTTATCCAGAAGGTCCCCACCAAGACTCACCTTTTTTTATCATCAACTCACGAATGACTGAAAGGGGCTTGATAGAAATAACAAAAGATGTTCCTTTTGGCTCTATCACTCAGGAAATTTCAGAGGTTTCAGACTCTGTGTCAGGAACCAGGACAAAGGCCAAATACACACTTCTTGTAGCACACAAGGCTAAGCTAGATACCAACTCATCAGTTTCTACTGGGTCAAAAATACCTAGTGTTGTAACTTTAATTCTTGTGCCAAAAATATACAAATAAATATGTGTAAATATGAAGAGTAGATAACTACTTTTTAAAAAAACTAAGTAAAAATTTAATCTTCTAGTCAAACTACAATCCTTCTGAAACTACCATCTTTTTAATTTTTTTTTAAGATTTTATTTATTTATTTGTCAAGAGAGTGAGCACGAGCAGGGAGGAGGAACAGAGGGAGAGGGAGAAGCAGACTCCCCGCTGAGCAGGGAGCCCGATGCAGGACTCAATCCCAGGACCCTGGGATCATGACCTGAGCTGAAGGCAGACGCTTAACTGACTGAGCCACCCAGGCGCCCCTAAACTACCAGACATCTTATGAATAATTGTTCCACACGTTTTACCTATACATTTCAAGTCTTTACTGAACCTTTCTCTAATAAAAAAAACAAAAAAAAAAAACAAAACCAATTTATTTTTAATAACAAGAGAGAATATATACCAGTTTCTTCTTTTTTCATTTCATTCATGTGTATATAAGAACTCTTAAACATTACATTGTGGCTGATTAGTCTGTAGAATTTAATCTTGGAATGCAGTAGTGAGAGAAGGATGTGAGATTCAGCTTGCAGGTTCTCCCTTTTCATGGCAGTGTGTGTCTGGACATGGGATCGTTCTGAGCCTGAGCCAGCTTGCTTCTAAAATCCCAGCACTGCCCACATCATTGTGTCATCATGACAAATAAATGGAATAAACGTATACAATCCTTTATTAAATGTAAATATTGTCCCTCAAAACTAATATTTTCATTTTATTAGCATTAACTCTATTTACTATATTGATACTTGCTTTTCTCTGTGTCTCGTGTTCCCCCTCCCTGACACTGAAATGGGAGAGGAAGAGAAAAACATCCCTAGAAATGGATCCCTATCAGTCTTAGCCCCTCTAACTTGGGGAGATTTTTACTCATGTTTATTAAGGAGCAAGCCCACTAATTTATAAATTCAGATTCAAAAATTATTTTCTTAGTAGAAGTGACTTTTAGAAAGTCTGCTTTTGGGATGAGAGCTTCACATGGGTAAAGAGTGGCAGTGCCATTTTTGAAGGCACCAAAATGAGCCAGTACAACAGGTGAGAGAGGGAAAGGGGTGCAGATATTACGCCACATCCCCAGT